TTCTCTCATGGTCCCAATTGTTCATTGTTAATTAGATCCAGCCACAACAACTCATTGTGCAAAAGGCATACTCTGTTTTAATCAAAATCTTGGACGGCATTTTGGATGGCATCTTTAAAAGCTTGGACAGAACACTCTGTGGTTTCCTCACTGATGAAGAATCAAAATGATTAACTATGAACACATCTTTCACTGGATGCTGACACTTATTATCAGGTTATTTGATGGGCAGCTCCTTGTTTCATGGAACTTCTTTAGATTTCCTTCAGTTTCGTACTTGCTTTCTTCACTCAGAACAGTAATGTACTGAAAACCTGACCCATAGGACACATCCATAGTGAACTCTTAAATAATTTTTTAATTTCCATTTTATGCTGTGCTGAAAATGATGCTGTAAACACGAAGTATGACTGTGACAGTCTCATCTATTTGAATCAGATCTTTTTATCTATAACGTTCAAATTATTTTCCCTGTTGTTTTAGCAGTTAAGAGAAATAACCAGTGTTTGGGAATGAAACACACCAACAAACTCATGCTTATGGACTGTCTTCATAAATGTATTTTGGGGACAATGTACTGTTCAGATTGTCCTCACAGGTAGTTACTAGTGACAAAAATCTGAACAATGTTTCCTTGGCAGAAAAAAACACAGCACACCACTTTTATCTATCAATATATAAATTGTCATTCAATGAGACTTTCGGTGCTGCTGTTTTAAGAACCTTTGCTAGGTTTCACATTTTGCTCCATAAGATTTAATTTCTTCTTTTATGTCAGGCTGCTTAGCAACTTCCAGTTAAAGTGAGTCCAGAGGAGGCCATGAAGATGATAAGAGGGCTGGAGAACCTCTCTGATGAAGACAGGCTGAGAGAGTTGAGGTTGTTCAGTCTGAAGAAGAGAAGGCTCTGGGGTGACCTTGGAGCACCTTCCAGCACCTAAAGGGAGCTTACAAGAGAGCTGGAGAGGGACTTTTTACAAGGACATGCAGAGACAGGATAAGGTGGAATGGCTTTAAACTGAAATAGAGTATTAGATAAAATATTCCTTAGGAGGAAATTCTTTACTCTGAGGATGGTGAGGCACTGGAACAGGTTATCCAGGGAAGTTCTGGATGCCCCAACCTTGGCTATATTCAAGGCAAGGCTGGATAAGGCTTTGAGCAGCCTGAACAAGTGGAAGGCATCTCTGCCCATGACAGGCCCCTTCCAACCCAAACCATTCTATGACTCTGTGATTCCATGAAATAGCCACAACACAATAGTGTTGTAAGGGCTGTAAAGAGAAACTTATGGGGGATTCTATACTGCAGTGTACAAAATAGAAGAACCTAAGATGCAGCCTAGCCATCAGTCATTCCTGTTTGCCTGCCTTACATTAATACAGGCAATAATAACACAACTGTTTTATAATAAATGACATTATATCATAAATTATACTATCATCACATTGTATTATGTAATTACAGATAGATGTAAAAATATGTTTCATTTTAATCTTCTAACTTTTTCAAACTATTTAAAGCTTTCAAACAGAGTCTGGAAGGAAATCTAATAAGCTCAGTTTGCACATACAAGTGGTGATTTTGGACGCCTGGGCACTTCTCTGACCAACTAAAATGTCTTTAATAAAATCTTGTTTTCAGTAAGAACTGAATACCATCTTTCAGATGTTTTAGGTTACGCACTCTAAAATGGCCTTATGCCAAATCATGACTCACTTTTGAAAATTTAAGATCCTGTATCTAGTCTCAAAACCCAGCAAAAAATAAATTCCTTAACTATTATCAGAATAACACCGTAATTCGGAGAAAATGAAAGATCATTTTGGCTACTTTCTTTCCTAAAGCAAAACAAAACATAACAGCCAAGGTTTTCAACTGGTCAGTTAAAAACAAACAAATAAACAAACACAAAAATAAGCCCCTTTCTTAAAAGGAGGAAAAAATATTTCAGATTGCTCACAAATTAAACAATCTTTGCCTGTGTTTCAGAAGAAAAATCATAATAGCAATAACAAAAGCTTGTCTCTTTTTTTGACATGGTACATAATGCTACATCAGCCCATTTCAAGCACTATGCCTCTAAAAGTTTAAACTAAACATATCATATTTCAACCACTGAATATAAATGCTAAGGATCAAAATTCCCCAAAATTTACCTGGTAGAATTAGCATAAGTAGCGGTGTGCCTGCACAACACTTGAAGAATTGACATTCCAAAACTCTTAAAATTTTTCTTTGCCCTGAGCAAAGACACTGAAAACCAGAGACTGATGAAACAGCAGCCTGCTTCCTTGTCACACAACTTTTATATCCGTAATTCCAAGCAAGTTCTGCAAAGTGACTGACAGACATAGAGTTTCAGGGAAAAAAAAAATCAGCATAGCTGAAATTGTGTTGGTTGAATGCTACAGCACGGCAGACAGTAGCTCTATATGCCAGCACAGCAGGAAAAAAACTCAATTGCTTTTAATAGACAGGCATTTAGTGCAACTAGTATAATCTAGAGTGACATTTTCCCCTGTCTATTATGTAAGCTGAAAGCTAAACTTGTGCTTTTATACTGTATATTGCCTATTTTCAACACACTGCCTTATCAGCTGTCTCTCAATTTTAAGTTATTTTAGTAGCAAAGAAGGGGGGGACTTATCACATCTTTGAGATTCCTTCTTAATATCCTATTTTCTTCCATTCTGTGTTCATGTTGCCACACGGGCTTCATATTCTATGCCTAAAAACCTCTCTGAGAATTTTAACTCTCCACAGAAAATAATTTAAAAGGTAAAGAAAAATCCAGGAAATTCAAAGGAAAGAAGAAATCAAAAAGCGAAACAAAGAAAAGACAATTTAAAAACTCAAGGGCAGTCAATGTATTTTACCAGCATCACTCCCTAACACCTTTTTCAAAATTTCAGAAAGAGAGAAAGCAAGGAAATGAGTAGTTAGACACATCACCATTTTTATATCCCAGGCATCTTCCATAATGTGTGAACATCTACCTTCACAACAGCAATTGTCCTTGACAAGATTTTCAAAATGGCACTCAGCAGCAGGCGTAGAGAGATCAGAACTTCCCACAGAAAGAGCAAAGCAGAGAATGACAGACTTACTCTGCTAAAACAGGAGTTTATGAGTCCAAGATACTTAAATTAATAATTCTTTTCCAATCTTTCTGTCCATCTATCTACTGTTGCTCACCTCTGTGTTGCCCCTGGATAAAGCTGATAACTTAATCAGTAACCCTTTCAAGATAGCCAGCTCCGATAGACTGACTTGTCTTTAATGTATTTTGATAGACAAATAAAGCTGTCTAAGTGCCAAGGAGTCTGCATATTTAAGATCCAGTTCTCAAAGAAGTGAGTGATTAAAATCTAGTGATTTTGCAAGACAAGTTCATAAGGTCTATAAATACAACACATAGCATCAAAAGACCTCACCAGCCAGACATCTGAATACCAGAAGGAGACACAGGGCATAAAAGAAATCAAACCTTCAGAAACAGCGTACCAAATTGATTAGGCAACACTGGAAGAATGAGTCTTACAGGAGACACTTTACTGTGTGTATGTGCCAAACATGTTTATGATTTCTCTTAAAAGACCTATCTTGCATTATCCTGATAGTACGTCAGGAGTTCATGTCCCACCTGCCTTCCCATATCCCACAATAAACAACACTGCCTCCATTGGAAAAATGTCTCTTTGAGGTACATATCACCTCCTGAAAAGTTACTAAAAATGTCCTACCCTGATGCTTTCAGAGCTGCATCACGAGCAGCAATTTCTGACTTTCCCAACCTGAAGCAGGAGCATTCAGCATATATGCACAGACAACACTGCAGAGCTTTTTGGACTATCTATGGGTGCAAGAGAGGTGCTGACCACTCACCCGGCTCTACAGACCACGATGCAGTCTGTAAATCTCCCCCTCTCACTCAGAACTGCAGGTCTGCTGAACCATGCCACTGATGCCACCCCGTGCAATGGACAGGAAGCCTCCTCCATGGTGAAGCCTCCTGCCAGGAGCACCGAGGGGGATGGAAGGCAGTTCATGGAGCACCCGGGAGTGCCATGTCCAGGAGGTACCAATACCCAGCTCTCCCCTGACACAAAACCCTCCCATAGACACAGCACAGCCCATCAATGCCCCTGCGAGACATCCAGACACAGGATCAGAAAAAGAAGTTTGAAAAAGCCTTAGAAGAGGACAGAAATCTAAGAAACTGCTAACAGATTCACTAAGAAAACCTCAAGATGCTTCATGCAAGGAGCAGTGACTGGAATTTCAAATACGAAATATACCACCTACCCTATACCAAACAATGCTCTCAGTTTTCTATTGAAATTTAGTACAAGGGCTGACAAGACTTCCTATGCCCACAAGCTGCAGAGGGCTGTGAAACCAGCAATGGCCCGTGCTCTGCCCTTTTTCAGAAAATAGATGCTGAATGAGACAAGCAATGGGAAAAAACAATCTTAAGCTCAGCACAAAGGGAATTTTTTTCCTCATTACAGCACAAAAACCACATGGCAGGGGCACATTTCCATTTAGCTTTCTTTGTGTCTTTTATATCAGGTGTCGAGCTGGTGAGGCTGACACCATCCTCATTTACCTGGCAGACCCCAGCTGAGGGTAAGGTCTTCACATCATGACAGTGCTGCTAACATTTTCCCTCTAATTATTTTTGCTCAGTATTCTATCTTCCAAATCCAAAAGGAAGGAAGAGCTTCAAACACTTGGAAGAGGTGCCTCCTCCTCCTAAAGAGAATTATCCAGAAAAACTGCAATTCAGAATTAATAAAGCCTCACATCTTTTCTGCAGAGGTTTTTTGAGTCCTATATGCAGAGGAGAGTTTTTCATTTATCAGCAGAAAGGGAAGGGCTTTCTACCAGGTGATTTTGAAATTCTTGGTCAAAGGTTAACTTGGTTTTTAACTTCAAAGTACAGAAAAACAGGGAGGTTGAAAGAATACAGTAAAACTTCAGAGGGATATTACCAACCTGAAACCAGGCTATGAAGGCACATAAAGCTGCCTTCTGTGCTACACCTTTCCTTGCTCTTGATTTCACAGGCAGTTCCTAAGAAGGGAAAAGGCAAAGTCCATTTGGGAAAGTTTATAATATAATCAGATTTTTCTGGCTGGCAGCACCAAAGGTGGAAAGGCAATTTCATTAATTAAGATCTGAACTTCTGCTTCGACTTCAGTTTTTCATAATGCTACTAGATATTTTAAAATACGGTACTCATTCATTGCAGGGTGCAGCACCCGCAGGGCAGTGAGTAATGGTTTTACTCTTGCTTCAGTACTGGCAGTAGCATGTTGGACTGGAAAATGAACCTCTATTTCCTATCTATTTTTATAATCAGTTTATCTACCATCTCCTTAATTCTTACCCCCATATGCACACTAGAAACAAAACATTTAAATCTCAGTACTACGCTGAAATACATTCACAACGCTGCCACTGACAGCTCACCAGTGACACTGACTTGTAACTGAAAACAGCATTTGGCCCCAACCAGTACATCTGTAGTCTGTATGAAAAATTCATGAGCTAAATCTTTTCACTTCTTTTATAAATAGGAGACAAAACGAGCGAGTCATCACTTAGTCAGCCAGGGAATGATTCAAAATCTAAACCTAGGATATCATGTTAAGGAAAGGAACTGGTAATAGATACAAAGTATATTTTCTTCCCACAGCAGGAAAAAGGACAAGTTATTCTATTTTATGCTATTTTTCTGTTGCTTCCATTAATTGAAAATGTATATAATACCAACTAAACATAGCAGTAAGACACCAGACACAAAATAGAAATCTGTGGCATTATATGCCCAGATATATTTTGCTGCAGCCCTGAAGTCTTACATGTTACTGGGTTCTGGTTTATTTGCAAGCTTTCTCGAAACACAAACATTACTTCTGCATTTTGTGACTGGCTCTATATTATGAGGTGATATTAGCTGAGGAGGTGACAGCTGGCAGGAACTTTCGAATCGAAGGGTCTCTTTCCAACTGATACACACAGAGCTCTGTATTAGCTCTCACAAGATGCACTTTGTTTTTACTAAAGATGATTACCCACGAGTAAATAATGAGTCATGATATCCTCAAAAAAGCAAACACACAGTTAAAGAATAATTTCTAACACGGGTAACCAGACAGCACTGAAAATTGAATCACTTAGGTGCGTTTGTCCTAATTAAGTGTCAAAAACCAGAAAAGCTATAGAAAATAGCCATAATTACATAAAAATATGTTGGAAGATCTTGAAAAGACTGTATCTCTTTTCATATGACTGTAAAGCACCATTTACAAATGGGTAGCATACAAATAGGTAAATGCAGTCTTAAACATATGCAGGTACAAACAGAAAAGGGATTTTTATTTGGACAACACAAACAAACCATGGTAATTTTGTCATTCTTGATGGATTAATACTCTATCCTTACAAACAATTCAGACCAAACATATTGGAATTCAGGTAAGAAAGCAGCACAAATTTAACACCATAATTATAATAGGGATACAAACTGCTCATTTTTTATTATATGCTATCAGATGACTTCATAGCACTTTGGGAATTTAACGCTAGGAAATTCACCTCCAGATGATCACCAACAGTGGTGAAATAGTCTCTCCTTCATTATTGCTACTTCTATATGCATCTTATTTCTAATTCTACCTTATACATTTCTAAAACAACCACTAGGCTCCAAAAGTTCTTCAGGGGAGTACAGTGACAGAATGAAGATTATGAAAAATAGGCTTACATCCACTATTCACCTGTAAGGATTTTGCCTAAAACAGTTTGCTGCCAGCCATTCTGCAGAGCCACCCAGACACCTGTGAAGCTCATCAGCCGTTTTAGAAGACAAATTAGATGGAATCTAGTGATCCTTACAACTTTGCAGCAGCTGAGAGTGGTGGCTGTGGAGTAACAACAGGGTTAAAGACCAGAAACATACTCTATGGAACTGTGACTTTTCATTTAATCTTCCAAAATGTTTCCCTGTAAGGACTATGCTAGAACAAGCTGGATTCTTAAAAAAAAATAAAAAATTAAAAATTAAGAACAATAAGGAATTATGTGAATATATGAAAAACCAAGCACCTAACTTGCTTTTTTGGTGAACACTGCTGTATTAGAAAAAGATCCAGTTGAAATGGGTGTTGTCCATATGTTAGGACTAATGCTCTTTACTTGACATGCTACATTCTGAAATTAAGGATGTCAGGATATATTTGAAAATTTCATGAGGATAAAAGAGTCCCATTAGATTTCTTTGCACGAAAAAGCACCAAAGTTCTACCATGACACCTCTATTCAAACCCAGGTATGACCGCCCCATTTTGGGGAGTGCTGCCCAGCCAGGGCACTAGGCAACTAGAGGAACAAAAGCTGGTGATTCTGACACAGAGACAGGGGTGTTTTTCCCCCTTTCTTCCCTGTATGTTTCTCTTAGCATTGGTCTTGAAATACAATCTCTTGTGCTTTGACCAACCTACAATCTTCATACACTTAGTCAGGGTTCGTATTTTTTGAGATTATGTGATTCTAAATCACAACTTCATGAAAGCTGTTGTAACATTTTAAACAGCATTTTTTTTTAGAAGATCCAGCCAGCCAGTGAGATGGCAAAACCACAGCATGGATCTCACAACCTGCCCTGCAAGTTTTCTAATTTACAGACACACTTCTGAATTAGGGTCGTATAGAACCTGAAATTCTGAAAGGTCCTCCTCCTTTTCTGGCTGACTGGTCATTGTTAAGATCACAGAACAGGCACCGAGTAGCTTTAGCTGCCCATGTTCCAAATAAGAGAGATAGCACTTCTTCCCTGACAATCCACAAACCTTAAAATACTACCAAAAAGAAAAGGATTAAAAGATAGTGCAATCAGAGCACTTCAACTAGAATAAAGACTCCTTTAGGGCACTTTAACTTCCAGTCTAAAGCTTAAAGGGAAAATTAAATAAAATCTAAAATGTCACACAGCACTTACAAGATTGCATATGCTTACTTTAGGCAAATACCACTGAATCCTATTTTTGCTGTATCTTACTTTATACATTATTGCATATGTTTAACTAAGGAAAAATACTATACTTAAATAAGGAAATACTTGAATGTATTTTCCTTTCTCCTTTCCATGATGTAAATGCCCCATATTCTCAATGTTGTTACACTAGAGTTAAATTAGGTCAAAGGCATTTGGTGTTCAGAACCAGGACATATCACTAATACCAAAAATGATCATACAAGAGGGGACTTCGGTAGCTGCCTACCCCTCATTCTACCAAACTTTTATCATTCCATAATACACAGCTGCTGGTGCTTAACACAAGTTAATTCCTATCCACCACTTCCAGGGTGGTAATACCATCACACATGGACCAAAGTCTACTAAGTAAATCCCCTTGTTAAAATTTTAAAGACCCTCACTTTTTGCAGTAATCTTTTACCAATACTTTCAGTCAATACAGGCAAGGTCACTAACACATGTATAAAGACACTCTGCAGTCTTTTCTAGTTTAATTCTCGTTTCACACTATTATTTTTCCAAATCCTGCCTGAATTCTTTCCTGTTTAATCTCTTCTGGTTAGGAAAAAAGAACAAATAAGGAGCAGTACACAAAAGGGAATATGACTGGGCTTGTATGAGCTACAAGAAAATGGTACAAAACTGAGAAGAGCTGGGATAGTTGTAGCATGACACCATGACCTCTGCTTACAGCCACAAATTACATCAGCCAAGTGACAGTGTTCTGCATGACTCTGCATTGCTTAATTTTCTCTCTTTTTTTTAATCATTACTGTGCTTGTCTTCACTTAATCAGTTCTAGTTACTTGCTCCAATTTGATAACGGTCTAACCAAACACATACTTCTGCACGTCCAAGCAGAAGACCCAATTTTACTGTCAACACAGCCAGATCAAAGCAGCTAACCTGTTATGGAAACAGCAAGGCCAACACCCTAATAATGCCCCAATTTCTTCTGTTAACCAAAGAGATAAAATTATTCTTAATTAACAATGTGTAATTCAGCACAAATATAACTTGAACATAAGTGCTGAAAGAAAGTGAAATTCATTAACTCAAAAATACAATGCATTTACTCCCAGAAATTCAGCTACTGATCTACAAAATGTTCAGAAGATTCAAAAATATGTGTGATGCTGCACATCCAGAGATCGTAGAACAGTACAGTATCTTAATTCAGTAGGTTTTGCTATTTGTTGAATTACATAATGTTGATTAGAGGACATTAGTTTGGATTACAAAGGGAAGAGCATTAATTGCATTCTGTATCAATACCACTGGCTGACTGACATATAGAAGTACAAGGAACCTAGAGTTTTCACAAACTTTCACAAAGCTTCTCATAAAGATATCAGTAAACAAGAAATGCAACAATATTCAACAATGAGATTCCACATTATAACAGAAAAAGCAAAAAAAAAACCAAAACCAAAACCTAAGGTAAGAGTCTGAAGAAAAACACATAAGAGCATGGTATAAATTTAATCCCCAAATCAAGATATTAGACTTGCCATATACACAGATGCAGATGGCTGGGTAAACTGATTCCAAATTTAGCACTACAGATAAAATTACTTTCATCTTAAAAACACCCTGTAAGCAGATCATTTTGCTCACAAAAGTGTTGAGCTTTGGAAAATAGCAAGCTTGTATCACCTACCTTTATTTTTGCCTTTCTCAATTCTCCAGCTGTAATATTTACTGAAGACAATCTCATTGAGTTTCTTTTTGGAGTCCTGACCCCGATTTCAAACATTGCAGGAAGATGTGCATTTATTAAACATATGTATTGCTGACCGAATTTCAAAAATCATTGTTGGGATCATAGCTCTTTCTTTTCTTCTGACATATCACTTCTGGGCACTACTTAAGGCCATAATCTGTCTGTAATACTCACTGAGACTTTTTCACATGAAAACGAGGCAGTAATTCCACCCCTTTGATATTATTAAAAAGGTAGTTTGTTCACCACTAGGAACATCATTGCAGAATACACATACAAGTAAATTAACAGTATAGTACCACAAAAACTGCTGGCATCTGCTGGCTGTAACTTAGTAGCTCAGATTTGCTATGCTGAGACAGAATACAAAAGGTGTGACACCAGACATCATTTTTTCTGACTCAAAATGCATCCACCAAAAAATGCAAAAAGCATGCAGCAAACATGAATCCCGGAAGATTATCCTCAGTACAGATAAGCTCAGCAAAAGTTAAGCGATTAAACTCTAACTTCTGATCTGTCCATCTGCTTTCCCCACGTTGTCCTGCTCTCCAGATGGGAAAACAGGTGAGGTCTTGAATTACTCATATGTAGCCCTGTAGTTTTGCCCACACCCTTCTTCCTGTTACACCATCACCCAAGTGTTGTGAAATCTGGAGCTCCTAACTGATATTGCAGATCTTAACTTCACACAGCAATAGGTAAAGCTCCGTCCTATTCTATCACAAGCCTTGCAACATCTGCCAGGTTGAATCTCTCAAATTCTTCCTGCCTAATGCTCTTTCTGGGTTTAAATATCTCTTCCCTAAAGAAGAAAAAAAAAAAAACTACACTGAGGTTTACACAATCCTAATTTGCAAATTGTTTCATGCCCTTTTAGATTAGATTACCTTCCAAAGCAAACAGAGTTATGCCATACTACTCTCATGTCCCAAACACAGATCGTCTTAAGACTGTGCAGGGCTCACACTGCCTTTGCTCTTTCAGCTGCCCATGTTCACACAAACGGCTTTCACTGACTCCAGGAGATCTTTGAAAAAGTATCATCCAGAACTATTTAAAGGAGCAAGACTTAAAAAAATATTGACAAGACTAGGCATGATGTATAAGAAAACACTTAGCAAGAAAACATTAGAAAAGAAAATCAGACTGTAGATTTGATCTCGTAGATCTGGGCTTCAGTGGTAAAGGTCTCCCTTTACATATCTTTCTCGCACCATCAAATAATTAATTCAGCTGCAGACCTGTGATCATCAAAACAGACTATATTTATACAGACACGTTTTGAAGAGGCTGAGGTTAAGTTGATCTGGCTTAGAGTTGAACTTCACAGAGGAGTCCAAGCTTTTTGTCTTTTTGCACACTGTGTTTGCGCAGCCAGCAAGCAATATCCCATCAGCAATCCAATTCCCCTTTTCCTTCTATCCCTACCACAAACTGCTGATAAACTTTCCTGCTAGTCCTAAGATGAGGAAATAAAGTATGTTAAAAATACTGAGAAATCATTTCTTTTTCAGGAAAAAGGCTGCCTGCACTGCTGTTGTAAAATGCATGTCAAACTAATGTGATATTATAGGCATGAATTTCTAGCTGCCATTTGTGGATGAGCTCTATCTATGAGCAAAGGTAAAGAGATGTCTGGTACACGCCTGGCTTCCAGCCAGTGTCCACACTGGTCCCCACAGGGCTGCCTCATGAGTAGGTGTAGCAGTAATGGGAGAGGGAAGATCGCTTGAGTTCAGGTTTTGTGGCTGCAATTCTGCCACTTTCTTGCTTTCAGAATTTGGGTTTCTTGCTAGAGAGACAAGTAACCCTAGAAAGAGACTTCTGAAACTGCACTGGGAGCCAAACTGGACAGCAAAGGTTGAGGGAGAAGGGAGGGCAAAGGTTCACAGAGTAGTCTGCTTATGTAAATTTGGCTCTTTAGATTTACATTCCTATGAAAGTATAATCAGAAAATTACTACTAAACAGCAGGCAAGTCCTGGCTCCTTTTTAAGCCTATGATTCTTTCTATGGGATCAAAGACAATGATCCTGAGAATTGGCCTCTTATGTGCAAAGGTGAGAGCATGAAATCTCTTTCTAAGTTTTAAGCAAGCTCATAACTCTGATCTGTGCATGGAAAATGCATTTAGAGCACCTTTTAAAGTTACAGAGATGCTTCAGTTGTTTGTGTAGACAGAAGCAATATGATTTGCTCTGTTAATTTGGTATAAATTCGTATTTTTCTTTTACTCTCCTGAATTTATTATGGGCAAGCCTGGCAGACCAGCTTAATTTGAAAGTGTGCTCTACACTTTCCATTTAATGAAATCTACCTTAAATTTTTTGTATTTCGCTCAGCTGTATCAAACTGAACTGCAATTCTCTTTCAAAACCTTTTCAGAAAGTTTCAGTCAAGGAATGCATGAGGCTGGAGAGGACCTCTGCAGACCGTCCAGTCCACCACCCTGCTCAATCAAGCAGGGTCACCTGGAGCAGGTTGTCCTGGACCATGCCCACCTGTTTTTTTAGTATCTCCAAGGATGGAGATGTCACAATGTCTCTGGGCAACCTGTATAGAGAGTCTTGCTACTTCTGCAGAAGTAGCAATGTAAATGTTCGGGGTTGTGCTTTTTTCTATGTGCAAAATTTTAAATTTCTTTTCTTTTAACTACTTGAATTCTATTCCTTGGAAGAGAACCTGCAAGAAAGGACCTTATGACAAGGATGAATCCTGCTGCCCCTGTGAAAATAAAAATCTAGTTGGGAGAGGGGCTTGCCTAAGTTTGGAAAAAAAACACGTTTCATCCAGATTCTTGAATTTACAAGCTATCAGGTATTTCAGAAGATGCGAAGACATCTGAAAACAGAAGGGAGCACACTCTATATACATATGGCTTTCCATGTACACGGTCCCATGCAAGGAAAGTGGCACTGAAGAGAAGCCACTGCACAGACAAATCAAGGAGACTTATCCATGTCACTGCAAGTAGGATGGAGAGACGATAGCTAGCTCAGGGAACTGCTCTATAGAGACAGTATGACCAGAGCCCTTCTTCCCTTGGGAATTATAGAATCTAGCACTTTCCTTCCCCCAGGTCATGCTATTACCACTTGTGCCTAACCTTCAAGCACAAAAAGTACTTCCCAAAACGAAGAGAGTGCTTTGATATGAGGTTTCTTGAAGAGATAACAGTAGAAGATCTTTCTGCCTTGCAAAACACACTCCCACCATCCACCCACTGGAAAGTCATGGCCAGAATGGCTGCAAGCACATTCCCCGCATCCTACCGTGAGAGTGGCAGCGGGTCAGATTCATCTTCCCTGGGCAGAGGATGAAAGCAAACAGGCTTCCTAGGAGGCCTGAGTATCAGAGCAGTCTTTGGGTTCTCCCAGAGTTCAATGCAAATGAAGACAGCTGCCATCAAGATGGTATCTTGTGCAACAGCCTACTCGGCAAGAAGGAAGGCTTGATGCATTTTGGAGGCTAGAGAGGCTATCACCATCGTGGTCCAGGTCTCACAGCACATGTCAGAGCTCACATACACAGCCAGCAGGACTGCCAGGTAGGGGAGCCAGGGAGGGACGTGCCAAACGGCAGTGGGACAGGGGACAAAAAAACCCCAAAGAACTCAATACTCAGTAATGCAAAAAGTCAAGAAGGCAAAAGCACAGGTTCTGGCCAACACAATGGTAAGTGGGACTCCTGTCATTGGCTTATCCCTTCTGGCACCAAGAAGACACTGTAAGAAAGAACCAGGTGCATGGCAGCTGCCTTCAACATCAGCCAAATTCAGAACTACAGCAACTGACAGGACGTCCTAAGGAGAAAGAAGGTCAAGGACGCTATCTCCATGTATAAGACTCTTCAGAAAAAATGAAATGTTTCTAGCATCTCTCTCCCATTTCTGGCAAAGGAGAAAAGTGTGAGGTGTCTGAGGCATGGGAAACAGGACAGGGAGGAAAAATAGAGATAAACAGTTTTTGTAACAATTAAATACAAAGTTGGGTAATCAGATTAGATACCTTCATGGTGCAGAGGTGATTTTCAACTAAAAATTCCCAACCAGTGAAAAATTACGGTTACACATGTATAACGCACAGGCAAGGACCACATGCTCAAAATATTCTGCATAACCAACTGCATTCCCTGTGATCTGATCCCAGGTTTCCTGGTTTCAAATAAAGTTAAGAGGAAGTGTAGTTTTCAAGGATTATTACAATTATTACACAGGGCTGCACACCCTGAAAAGTGAAGCAATATCATCCACAGACTCTAAACCTTAGTTTACCTGCATATATTCAAAGACACCTGAATTAAGGCTGTGTATCAAATCTTAATTCTGGTATTTCTTCTCCTTTCTTTAACCTTAATAATCAGCAACTTCCACAGTTAAATAGTTGATCTAAGTCCTCTGGCCCAAGGCTGTTTTATTCTGGTCAAATAGAAAATTTCAATAAACTAAATTACTTCAGTAAGTCACATCAGTGAATCGGGCACAACACAAATGACATGCAGTTCAGCACTACATAGGAAGTACTCTGTGTTCCAGACACAATTTTCTCTCTATTTTTAGAAATAAAATTATACTTTAATATTTAATTGAAGTAATTATTTTGCTTTAAAAATTAAATTTGTTACAAATACTCTGCAGGGGAATATTCTTTTAGTGCATATGTGCGTGGTCATGTACATTCTGGAATTACATGGATACAACTCTGTATAGACTTTTCCCCTGTTTATCTAACTGGATAATGCATTTCACCTTATCTTTTTTTAATGAGAAAAAATGCAGTATGGAAATAAGACACCTAACTTATAAAAGAAGGCTGAAGATAAACCCTTCAATTTCTTGAAGGGAGGAACACAGTTATGTTAAGCCTTATACATAAGTGTTCATAATTATATTTTGAAGAACCCTGCACACAGACATGCCACATTTTTTTAAATATGTATGAAATATTAAAAATAAAACAGAGCCAGGGTAATAAATCATGGGAATAAAGCTATTTTAATGTAAAGTAGGAAACAGTCTAAAGTCACATGAAGGCACTCCTACCTGTCAAAAGTTGCAAGAAGGTAGGCAAATGGACCAAGAATGATTTTGTGCTAAAGGTCAGAGATAAAAAAAAATGCTAAAGAAGAAATGGCTTCAATTTATAAGTGCTCATTCTTTCCACTGGTAGGAAACCAAGCAGCAGCAGCAGCACTCCATACCTGCCGAAGTACAGCTGGGCTGGAGCACATGGCAAGGAGCTGGCATAGCAGAATCAAGAGAAACAATGCAAAGTCATGAGAGGGAGGTGTGAAGATAACAGGATACAAAGGGGGCCAAGGTACAAGACCAAGTCAGTGGAAGAAAGAGGTGAGGGTCTACAAACGGAAACATAAGAAAGGAAAAGGCCA